AACCTACGGGAACGTGGGCCGGGGCTGGGGAATGAGGACTCTTTTGGGAAGGGGTATGATCCTGGCTGGGGGTCGCTGAAGCGAAGCAGGTCTCCACACGGGGAGCTTGAAGATCAGTGCTGGGGTGGGAGATAGGCCTGGTGGGCCTGTCCCTGGAGCTGGGTTTAACCTGGACAGGATGTGGCACATCCAGGGTCTGGCCCATCAGGAGAGGGTCTCACTTAGTTCTTGGGTCAGAGTTAGCGGGCCCAGGGGGTGGTCAGTGGAGGTGGAAGCTGCTGAACAATCTCAACAGGTGTTCTCTGAGAGGCCATAAGATGTCCCTGCGTCTCTCCTTGCAAGAGAATGGGCTACGCCTTGAAGCTGAGGAGTACTTAGGGCAGGCTTTGGGACAATGTGAGAGAAAGAGGAAGTCTTTGGGGTCCTTGTTGGCCCTCCAAGCCTTAGGAATACAGTGGGAGCTGCCACGAGTAATTGTAGCCTCTTTTAGGAAGTTGTGGTGGGGTAGGGCCCAAGAGGACAGCTTGTCACAGAGATACAACACTATCCTAATTAATGGAGGGGCAGATTTTACCTAGGAACGCTGACGGGAACTGCTAGCTGAGTCATCCCGGTGTGGGCAGAGGTGGCACCAAGTGGATGCGGTTCTGAAGGGAAACAAGGGACCGCAGAAGTTAATGAAGAAAAGCAATTACAACAATGGGGGGGGGTGAGATAGGGAGTAAGGTCTGGGAGGAGGAAAGGGAGAGGGAAAGGAAGGGAGAGGAGAGAAGATAGGGGGAGAAGGGAAGGGTAGTCTATGCAAGCCCCGCATGGTTTGGTTTTGCTGCTGGGTATATGGAACGTAATGCCCGTTCCCCCGCAGAAGCTGAGGCTGGGGGCTCTGACTTTAGCTTCGGGGAAATTAGGTCAGCCATCTTGAATTTTCTCAAGCAATCACTCTGGGGTCTGAAGTTGCTCTAGGGCTGCGGCCTTGAGCTCAGAGAGATGGTTAAGGCTTTAAAAGGAGCTTGGCCAAATGTGGCTGAGCCTTCTTGTTCCAGGAGAGAACACTTTTCCAGGGGGGTCAGACATCCTTCCTACTGGACAGAAGTCCATTTTCTGTTCCATGACCCTTCGCCTCACAAGGACTAAATGTGAAGGAACCAGCTTCCCTTTCGGCAGCCATAACAGCCAAACACGTGC